ACCATGCATTTATGTTCCAATTTTTCCACATCTTCTCCAGTATTTATCATTTTCCTATTTTGTCATGTTAGCCAATCTGATAGGCATGATGTGATACCTCAGAGTCATTTTGATTTGGATTTCTCTAATCAGTAGTGATTTAGAGAATTTTTTCATATGACTATAGATGGCTTTAATTTCTTCATCTGAAAACTTGCTGTTCATATCCTTTCACCATTTATCACTTGGTGAATGACTTGTATCCTTATAAATTTGACTCAGTTCTCTATACATTTTAGAAATGAGGGCTTTATGAGAGACTCTGGTTGTTAAAATTCTTTTCCATTTTTCTGTTTCCCTCCTAATCTTGGTGGCATTGGCTTTGTTTGTGCAAAAGGTTTTCAATTTAATGTAATCAAAATTATCCATGTTGCATTTCATAATGTTCTCTATCTTGTTTGGTCTTAAATTCTTCCCTTGTCCATAGATCTGACTGTTAAGCTATTCCTTGCTCTCCTAATTAGCTTATACTCTCACCCTTTGTTTGTAAATCCTGTACCCATTCTGGCTTTATCTTGGTATAGGGTGTAAGATGTTGATCTATGCCAGTTTCTGCCATACTATTTTCCAGTTTTCCCCGCAGTTTTTGTTAATTGTGGTTTCTTATTCCAAAAGCTGGAGTCTTTAGATTTATCAAATAGCAGATTACTATAGTCATTGACCATTGTGTCTTGTATACATAACCTCTTCCACTGATCCGCCATTCTATTTCTTAGCCAGTACCAAGTAATTTTGATGATTGCTGCTTTACGATACAGTTTAAGACCTCGTACAGCTAGGTTCTTTCCCTTGCATTTCTTTTCATTAATTCTCTTGATATTCTGAACCTTTTGTTCTTCCAGATAGATGCATTTTGTTATAGTTTTTTCTAGCTCTATAAAATAATTTTTGGTAGTTTGATTGGTATAGAACTGAATAAGTAAATTAATTTAGGTAGAATTGTCATTTTTATTGTATTAGCTGGGCTTACCCATGAGCAACTGATATTTTTCCAGTTTTTTAGATCCGACTTTATTTGTGTGAAAAGTGTTTTATAATTGTGTTCATGTAGTTCCTGAGTTTGTTTTGGCATGTAGACTCCTAAATGTTTTATAATGTCTACACTAACTTTAAATGGAATTTCTCTTTCTATCTCTTGCTGTTGGGCTTTGTTAGTATTATATAGAAATGCTGATGATTTGTGTGGGTTTATTTTATATCCTGCAATTTTGCTAAATTTGCTTATTATTTCAAGTAATTTTTCACTTGATTCTCTAGGATTCTCTAAGTATATCATCATATCATCTGCAAAGAGTGATAGCTTTGTTTCTTCTTTGTCTATTCTAATTCTTTCAGTTTCTTTTTTCCTCTCTAATTGCTAAAGCTAACACTTCTAGTACAATATTGAAGAACAGTGGTGATAATGGACATCCTTGTTTCACCCCTGATCTTATTGGAAATGCTTTTAGCTTATCCCCATTACATATAATACTTGCTGAAGGTTTTAGATAGATGCTATTTATTATTTTAAGGAAGACTCCATTTATTCCTATGCTCTCTAGTATTTTTAATACAAATGGGTATTGTATTTTATCAAATGTTTTTTCCGCATCTATTCAGGTAATCATATGATTTCTGTTAGTTTTGTTGTTGATATGGTCAATTATGCTGATGTTTTTCTAATATTGAACCAGCCTTGCATTCCTGGTATAAATCCTATCTGGTCATAGTGTATTATCCTTGAGATTAGTTGTTGTAATCTCTTTGCCAATATTTTATTTAAAATTTTTGCATCTATATTCATTAGGGAAATTAGTCTATAATTTTTCTTTCTCAGTTTTGACTCTTCCCACTTTAGGTATCAGCACTATATTTGTATCATAAAAAGAATTTGGTAGGATTCCTTCTTCACTTATTTTCCCAAATAATGTATATAGTATTGGAATTAATTGTTCTTTAAATTTTTGATAGAATTCACTTGTAAATCTATCTGGCCCTGGTGATTTTTTCTTAGGGAGTTCATTGATGACTTGTTCAGTTTCTTTTTCTGAAGTGGGGTTAAGCATTTTATGTCCTCTTCTGTTAATCTGAACAACTTATATTTTTGTAAATATTCATCAATTTCACTAAGATTGTCAATCAAATTTATTGGCATACAGTTAGGCAGAGTACCTCCTAATTATGTTTTGATTTCTTCTTCATTGGTGGTGAATTCACCCTTTTCATTTTTTAATGCTGATAATTTGGTTTTCTTCTTTTTTTTTTAAATGAAGTTAACCAAGGGTTTATCTATTTTATTGGTTTTTTCCCCCATAAAGCCAGCTCTTAGTTTTATTTATTAGTTCAATAGTTTTCTTAATTTCAGTTTTCTTAATCTCTCTCCTTTGGTTTTCGCAGTTTCTAATTTGGTATTTAATTGGGGATTAAAAATTTTTTTTCTAGATTTTTTAGTTGCATGCCCAATTCATTGATTTTTTTCTTTATTTATTTTATTCATGTAAGTATTTAGAGATATAAAACTTCCCCTGGGGACCGCTGTTGCTGCGTCCCATAAGTTTTGGTATGTTGTCTCATTATTGTTATTCTCTTGGATGAAGTTATTGATTGTTTCTATGACTTATTGCTTGACCCACTCATTCTTTAGGATTATATTATTTAGTTTCCAATTAATTTTTAGTCTATCTTTCCATGGCACTTTATTACATGTAATTTTTATTGCATCATGATCTGAAAAGGATGCATTTAACATTTCTGCCTTTCTGCATTGTATTGTGAGGTTTTTATACCCTAGGACATTTTTAATCTTTGTGGAGGTACCATATACTGCTGACAAAAATGTATATTCCTTTCTGTCCCCATTCAGTTTTCTTCAGAGGTCAACAGTATTTAACGTTTATAAAATTCTATTCATCTCTTTAACTTCTTTCTTGTTTATTTTGTGATTAGATTTATCTAGTTCTGAGAGAGGGAGATTGAGGTCCCCCACTAGTATAGTTTTACTGTCTATCTCTTCTTGTATCTCCCTTAACTTCTCCTTTAAGAATTTGGATGCTATACACTTGGTGCATATATGTTTAGTAATGATATTAGTTCATTGTCTATGGTACCTTTTAGCAGGATGTAGTTTCCTCCCTTATCTCTTTTAATTAGATCTGTTTTTGTTTTTGCTTTTTCTGAGATCATGATTGCTACCTCTGCTTTTTTTACTTCAGCTGAAGCATAATATATTCTGCTTCAGCCTTTTGCCTTTACTCTGTTTGTATTCCTTTGCTTCAAATGTTTCTTGTAAACAACATATTGTAGGATTATGGTTCTTAATGCACTGTGCTGTCTGCTTCCATTTTATGGGAGAGTTCATTCCATTCATATTCAGAGTTATGATTACTATCTGTGTCTTTCTCTCCATCCTATTTCCCCCCCCATGTTTATACTTTTCTCTCTCCTTTCTCCTTTTCACTCTTCACTAGAGTTTTGCTTTAGACCACCCCCTCCCTTTTCTTTCTCTTTGCCTTTTGTACTTCTTCCCTCCCTTCTATTCCACTCTTCCTTTTCTTTTTTCTCCCCCCCACTTTCTATAGGGTAAGTTAGTTTTCTGTACTTACCTGATTATGTTATTCCCTCTTTGAACCAAATCTGATGAGAGTAAGGTTCAAACAATGCTCATCGCCCTCTCTTCTTTCCTTCTACTGTATTAGGTTTTTGTGCCTTTTCATTTACCCTTGTCTTCCTCTTCCTTTCCTTTTCTCCAAGTACAATCCCTTAATTAGATCAAATTAATCCATTTACCTTGATCCATTTAACCCACTTCTGTAGTTTTGCTTCCCAGTGTTGTGCCCAGGCACCTGGTGATTTGGCTGCTGGAGAATGCCATCACTTGTGGTGGTTTTCCAAGCCCGTGTTTCCCTGCCTCTGTTGAGGCTCTAGGTGGGGCTTGTCATTGGCTTTCTGGGATGCCTCCTGTCTTATACTGCTCCCCCTCTCCCATAGTGAGAGGGGCCTTTCCTGTTAATTCCCCCAGCTTCCTGGACTACAACACTGCTGCGCCCCATCTTTCTTCTGGCTTAGCTGTTCCAGGGTTTTTCCTGGGTCGATATTTTCTGGGCTTTCAGAGGTCAATAAGAGAGGATGAGAATGCCTTACTTCTGTGCCATCTTTTCTCCCGTAAGCAGAACTCGATCTTAGAGAGTAATTAAGAAACTTTTGTTTCAGAGTAAGAGAGACTATAGGTGTGTAACATTACATATATTGTGAGATGTTGGGGATGTGTTCATTTTTATGAGCTGATTTTTCCCCTCTTTTTAAATCTTTGTTACAGAGGAAATTTTGCTGAGCAGAGAAGAAAAAGAGGGATATATTTGGAAATTAATTTAATGCAAAAGCAGAAAGCATCAATGAAAATTGTTAAAAACAAACCAAAAATTAACTAGGAGGTTGGAGTACGTGATCCCTAATTTTACTCCAACTTTAACATTCTTCCATTCTGTTTTCTCTTATTCTTCGAGGCTGTCGGTAGTTGAGGCCAGTGACTCTGGCATCTTATTTGAGGAGCAATGCAGATGACTTAAGAAGCCATTCTAGAATCATCATTCATATACTTTTTGGCCCCTATGTATAGATTGTTGACCCTGCTGTAGTATAGGACTATTCATCCTGGCTGGTGCCTACTCCTTTATTGACTGGCATGTTGTTGTTGTGTATTGGACCTGTTTCCAATGAATGTCTAATGTAGATTAAGTATGACAGACCTCTTTAAGGTTGGATTGTTGTTGAAATGTCAGGCATAAGATGGTACTGTATATCCCACTTTGCTCTATGGTGGAGAGAACTAGTGAAAAATTAGTTTTAATTCTTTCTGTAATGGTGATTGTAATTGTCTGCCTTATTAGGAAAAAATGGTGGCTAAAGCAAAATCCTGAAAACCATTTTAAATGTAGAAAGATATAAAAATTAATGCTTTTTTTTTTTGGTTGTATTTTCTGTAGATTTCCAGTGGGTTCAAGGAGATGTTTGTGAAGTCCAACTGATGGTGTATAATCCGATGCCATTTGAACTTCGTGTGGAGAATATGGTATGTGCCATGACTCATTTATCATTACCAATGGATTTTTAAATTTTAAACTTAAAAATAAAATGAGGATTTCAGGACACACATCAGAACACAAAAATAGGCTTCCATATGAAACTGTGAGTTTCCACTTCATACCACTTAGTTTTTTAAAAAGTGGGTAAGGATAAGGGAAGAGAATAAACATTTATATAGCACTTACTATTTTCCAGGCACTGTACTAATTACTTTATAAGGATTATCTCATTTGATCCTCACTAAAACCATGCAAAGTATGTGGTATTAGCTCCATTTTTTGTAGTTGAGGAAACTGAGGCAAGCAGAGGTTAAATCACTTGCTCAGGGTCACATGGCTTAGTAAGGCATGGATTCAGACTGAGGTCTTCCTCACTCCAGGCCCAGGGCTTTATCGTACCACCCATCTTACATAATAAACTGTACACTTTCAAATTTTTCAAATTTCAAAATTGCCCTGTTCATCCATGCTTTCACCTGAACTTCCTTCTGTTCTCTCTTGTACATTAAAAAAAAAATCTTTCCATGGTCTTGTTAGGGGGGAGAGGTCATCAATATTGCTACTTCCCCAGTTAAAAACAAGAGAAAGAAACACACACAACCCCCACACCCACACCCACACGCACGCACGCACGCACCCCAAGCTTGTAACAAATAAGGCTAATCAAGCAAAATGTATCTGTCTGGTGGCTATGTCCAAAATGTATGTCTCTTGTATCTTATGTCCTTGACCTCTGCCAGGAAAATGGTAACATACTTCATCACAGTTCCTTCGGAGACATGATTGGTTATTGCATTGATTAAAGCTCTGAAGTCTTTCAGAGTTGTTTTTCCTTATAGTGCTGTTGTTCTTGTCTAAATTGTTCTTCTGATTCTTCTCACTTCACTTTGTATCGGTTCATACTCTTCCAGGATTTTCGGATATTTTGTTGGCTCAATTCATATGAGGCAATACTTTCATATACCACTCTTTATTTAGCAGTTGCCAGTTATCTAAGAGGTAAACTAAGGCACACCGTTAGATTCTAGTTCTTCCATTTTTCTTCCTCTCCATGTCTTAATCCCTCCTCTCCACTGGCATGATCAAGGAGTCTGTTTTGCTTGTGACTGTTCTGTTTTATCTGTATTATCCTCCCTCCTAAAACCTCACCCCCAATTTCCACTTGTTTTTCTGCTGAATCTGATGTATTGAACATCAAACTGGTATGTGTGTATGTGGTGTGTGTGTGTATGTGTGTTCAGTCCTCTTTTGTCCATTACAGAAAAGAGTGAGGTTCATCTGGTACCACTATTTCCACATCTTCCTTTATATTTGTGTACTTTATTTCTCACAAGCCCCAAATTATGGAAAATATCAAGTTCTACCCCCATTTTTGCCCTTTCTACACTAATACTTTCCTTTTCCCCTCTTTTCTTGTTTTTTCTTTAAACAATTTGTTTACACCCTACTTGTGTTTTAAATCTGTTGTTCCCATTTTATAGATGAAGGAACTGGGCTTCAGACATGACAGGCTCAGGAACAAAAGCTAGCAAGTGGTAGAACTGATTGGGATTTGATCTCTTGTTCTCTGACCCTTAACTGCAGTTCATTTTATTTATTTATTTTTTTCTATATCATACTGCCTCAAAATTAATTGAATGTGTTTACCAGATCATAGAATCATAAATTTAGAGCTTGCAGGGACCTCAAGGGTTATCTAGTTTAACTCTCTCATTTTCCTGATGAGAAAACTGAGACACATAATAAGTGAATGAAAAAGCTTTTGAACATTTAAAGTGTGCAAAGCAATATCTTAATCATTGGGGATACACGTAGGAAAGCAACAGTCCCTCTTCTCAAGGAGTTCACGTTCTACTTGGCAGTGTGGGTGGCTAATGCAGGCCCTATCTCCATTGGGATGGCTTTTCTGGATAATGGCTGTAAGCCCAGTGTGGAAGCAGAACTGGTGGAGGTGGGCAACAGGTGTTAGGCTGAGTTCTGAGTTGCCTAGGGGTGTGAAGGGAGATGGGGGTGTAGTGGTAGTCTTTTGACTGGTCTGTCATGTACTTCCTCTCTCTTCCTCAAGACCCCTTGCTGTTTCACCTAGGCTTATTTGCCAGAATTATTAAATGCCTTGACCAAGGTTACCCAAATTGGAGGTAGCAGATTTCAACCCTGGTCCTCTAACTTCTATTATTTTATGTGCAATAATACCCCTGTGCTTGGTGCTGGGAGAAGGTACAAATATGAACAAGACCTGGTCTCTGCCCTTACGGGATTTATAATCTAATTAACATAGACTTCCTTTAAGATGTGACAGATGTTTACTATACTTTAAAGACTTCTAATACCAGGTTGCTTTTTAAATCCTGTCAGTGGAATGGCTTTTTAAATTTTTCTTGGGTATTTAATTACAGAATAAGAGTTAGAAGTCACATTTGTAGGTTGTCTGAATCAATTCCCACCTCAAATGAGAATCATCTGTATGGGTCTTTTGCTCAAATTTCTTCAGTGATGGGGAGCTCATTATATCTTCAGAATATCCCTTCCATCATTGAACATCTGTAGTCATTAAAAATTTAATTCTTCTGGAGCTGAAACTGGGTCCTGTAACTTTAATCCAATAGTATTTATTAGTGGTGACCTCTGGAGCTATACAAAATAAACCTAATAATCCTTTATTAACATGACAAGTTTTTAAGATACTGAACACTTTTTGGTGGGCCTTTTACATTGACTGGTGGCTGAGAGACCTTACCCTCTATCTTCTGATCAGGACTTAAAACATAATTGTTGCTGTATTATTAATATTTTTCTCTTGATTTATTTATGAATTTTGTTTTCTTTGGCTTTTGCATTTTCAAAAATTGTCATATCTTCATTATGTACATTGTCCTAAGAGTCTTGATTAAATTAAATATGGCAAAGTGACAACTATCTGAAGAAATTAATTATTTGATACTCTCTCTTCATGATCTGAGTTTTGATACCATTTTACAATTCACTTTTGTAACCTATAGTGCCTAGCATAATTGCTTGTGTGTAGTGGACATTGAGTACTTGTTTATCAAAAGGAAAAAATTAGATTGCAACTGAATGTTTGTTCAATTCATTAGGCACTTACTATGGACAAGGGACAATATAAGATAAGGTCTCTGCCCTCAAGGAACTAGCTGTTTGAAGAGGAGCCCAGACGTACAAAAATATGTGAGATGCATAATGTACTATGAAAGTGTAATGAGAGAGACGCAAGGTACTATGAAAGCTCATAGGAGACTGGGAAGATAATGGGAGGTTTCATTGAGGTACCTGTATATCATTTATGTTCTTATGAAGGACTTGCCAGATTCTTGATTTAATTTTACAGAAATATTTACTGCCTGTGGTAAAGTCACAGGAGTTTCAGACTTGGATTTTGCCTTGTGCCTCTTTTCTCCCCTCTGCGCCCCTCTGCCCTCCCCCCACCCCGCCGACTTGACAAAGCATTATGCCCATCAAAGAAAATCAGTCTCTTCCCTGATACTAGTAAGGAAAACTAGTTTAGGAATTTTTTCATGAAACATCAGATTGATAGTAGGCAACTTACTAATAGCTGCAGTAATGCTTTCAGAATAAATGGAGGATTTGGAGTTAGAAGCCATCAGTTTCATCCCTGACTCTGCTACTTCCTGCCTGTGTTTTAGGCCTTCACCAAGCCATTTCCCTTTCAAGGGCCTCATTTCCTATCTTTTTGAATGAGATGATCTTTAAATTTTATGGTGTACTAGCTATGTGAGTTTCAAAAGTCTGAGACCTAGACTCTGAGACTCAGTTTCCTCATTACCAAAATAAGAGAGATGATTTTTTGCAAATAGACAAGTCTGCCTCACAAGGTTGTTTTCGAAAATTCTAAATTTAAGCACTTTATAGATGTAAGCTGTGGTTAAGCATTTGTATGATATACATAAATGAAATGTATTTTTTCCTCTTAATGAAACCATTTCTACCTTTAGAGAGGAGCATGTGAAATTCTCCAGTGTAATAGTCAAATGAAGATTGGGATATTTCATTGCACTTAAATTACAAGCAAGACAAAAATTCATTGTGAAGATAATTTATGCAGGGAATTTGGGGAGAAAGGACACACACAAGAAACAGAATAAGTATAAAATAAGTTTTTATTATTATTGAACTTTCCCCCAAAGAGAGTAACCCACTAAGAAATGTAGAAGCAGATTACTTAAAACTCTAAAAGGTGAGAGAGGTTCAAATAGGATTTAAAAAAAAAGTGACCTGTTGAAAAAACACTGGATTTGGTATCAGAATAATTATGTTTGTATCCCAGATTTACTATTTACCATTTACTAGTTCTGCTACTGGTGGGTTGTGTGATTGTGAGCTAGTCATTTTACTTCTCTGATCCTCTGTAAAGTTAGTTATAGTATCTTTTATCTCTTGGTTTTATCCCCAGTGCTTAGTATAGTGCCTGGCATACAGTAGGTGCTTAATAAATGTTTATCGATTGATTGATCAATCTTCTTGATACCCATCTGACAGGGTGGTAGTGCTAAAAGTAATTTATAAATTGTAAAATGCTCTGCAAGTGTGCTGCTTCAGGGTAGGCAAGGGAAAAGAAAGTTGAACTAAATTCATCCAAGCTTCTTATATTGAAAAAATTAAGTCAAAAATACAAATTTTCTGACCTTTCTGACTCAAGAACCAGGTATTGGTTACCATAAGGAAGAACTGTTGGCACAGTCATCAATAGTGCTTTTGTGTGTAATTCTACAGTCAAAGCTAATTATTTGTTTAAGACTTTCTGCCTTGATTAGAGCTAATAGCACATGTAAATATTTGATGAGTTAGGCCTCCTTGGGAAGCATTAAGACTTGTGGAATTTGAACAACCTGAATCTGGGTCACACCCATTAAATGAGATCTTTTTAAAAGGGGGAAAACACAGATATCCGCTCAGAAATGGCAATGATTATAGGCTTCGCTCAGATGTTATACAAACAAGATTTTGAGGG